AAACACTAAAGTATGAGAAAAAACTACTGAGCACTGCTTTTTATTATAATACCAACTCTATAATTTAAATTGGAAAAGATCAGTGGTTTTTAAAAAAAGATTTGTTAAAAAACGTAGCTTTTGTCAGAATTCTATGCAATCATTTAAGGCACTTCTATGCTGTGACTGAGCCAAAAACCTTCAAAAGATTTATTTTCTTCAAAATTATGGGAAAATTTCTGGTTACACAGCACTGCTTCTTGGCAGATTAAACTGAGTGTTGTAAACAAAACAATTTTGTTGAATTGTTACAAAGAAAGACAGAAAAGAGAAAAAACAAGCAAACAAGAAAACAAAAATACACTTTTAACAATTGTAAGTGATAATTTAAAGAACAGTAAGAACAGTAATTTCATTGGTAACACAGAATTACAGCTAACAAATTGAAATGTTCTCCGGAATAATTTGCTTTTATAAACAGCATTGGTATAAATGTGACAAATCTTTAGTCAAAACATTCATTTAATTTAGCATCTTAGAAAGGTTTGCAAATAATGACCTGAACAGCTCTCGAGGAACTGCCAAATTACTAAGTCATATCATCTCAGCAAATAGCAAATTCTTCTTGAGTTTTTTAACAGTTTATATAAATCCTTCTCTTTTTTCATTATCGTTTTGAAAAAAATTTAACGTTGAAAAGCTTCTAAACACGTTTTTAGATCAATTTTTTATTAAAATAGATTTGAAAAAAATTCACACATTTTGTACTTTTGAACTTTACCACTGACCTTTGGTTAATAGAAAAAGTTGAAAGGAAGGCTTTTATACAAAGAATAACACTATTAGGGCTTTAAAAGATGTTGACAATAAAAATCCATCGAATGCTTCTCACTTATTTTGAACAGATTTAACCAAACCATCTAACAACTTTTAGAAAAAATTGTCGAGTTATTCGCTTATTTTCTTCAGCAGTATAAGTTTTAGAACAACACAAACGCATTACCTCATTCTTGCCACAGTCCTCGTTGTCAGAAAATTCAGGACCGAAATTATAAATGGATAAAATCAAAAAAGCTTTCCACAAGCGAATCTGGCACTGCCACAAGCGAAATTTGACATTTTTAATTAGCATTAAGTTTAAGACAATGATTTAGTCTAAGTGACTTTTCAACAGAAGCAGATGCTTCTAGACTTGCATTAAACACCACCACTTGGCTCGAGATTTCTTTTCATCACATTCCAAATTTCTGTTTTTTTTTTTTTTTTAATTCTGTTCCATAAATTACTATAAAAATGTTTGCTCTCCCATTCGAAAAAAACTATCCCGCATGAGATTTTACTTTCGACAGCTTAAATTAATTTATTTCTAGAAATAAAATTCAATCAGACGACATGTGAGACCACCAAAATAAAATTTCCAAAGTTGGAGTAAAATTCTGTTGTGGTTCTGTACCACCAAAAAATTTTTTTTCACCAACGGCTGCTGTACTTTAAAGTTTTTTTGTTGTTGTTCTAATGGAGTCTGTCATCAAACGAGAGTAGTGTTGAAATAGCTTATTTCAGTATAGCTTTATATTTCTTCCTCAACATTCTTTTTTGTCTTTTCTTTTTTTTTATTTTTATATTATCAAGCTTGTCTGGAAAGTTTTGAAGTCATATTTAATAAATGAATAAACTTCAGTTAAATTTAAGTGTCAGTGCAAACAATAGAATGAATGTCTAAAAATAGAAAAAAATAGAGTGTAGTTAATCGTTAAAGTTAAAAATCAACGCTCTTGGACAGCTACTGTAAGAATTTTCGCTTTTGTCGACTAACATCTGAAGAATCTATTAGATCACCCTGAAATAAAGAAGTGATCAAAAACATATTTGAAGTCTGAACTACCGTTCCAACTCTGAACTGTCCACATTCAAAAAATGAAATTCACAACAAATTAGTTATCTCCAGAAGTCCATATTTTTGCTGCATGATGTGTCGTCATAAAACATCAGTCCCTCCTTCAAACACGTCTTTTCAAACATCAACATTCCATTTTTTCAATTACCGTTCCTGCTAGACGTTTCATACTCACTTTTTTGTTTTTGATATGCTGGATTCAAAAGAAATATAGGTTCTGAAACTGTCAGGATATCGGACCAAGCAACCAAAAGCTTCTTTTCTAGCTTTATTACTTCAATGCAAAAAAAACCTCTTCCTTCAAATCAAGATGACACTGCTTGCTCTAAAAAGCATAATTTATGCTTTAACGTTTTAAAAAATGCTTTTGCTAATCTTACAGTAGATGCAAATTTCATCTGTTATTTTCCTCTTTTTTTCTAATTAATATAATTTGAATTAAAAAAAGTACAATTCTTATACCACAAGTTCCAGCTTTTTCATAGTCCAAAGAGTAAGACCAGTTTTGTCCATTATACGTTACCCAGTTTTTCTGTGGATGATACATTTAAAACCCCCAAGTAATTGTGAACGGATATGGAAGAAACTGGTGTACGATCTAATCATGCTTTAAAGAGTCATCAGTTCTACTGGACTATTGGAATATATTCTGCTTGTCGCTTCCATAAAAAACGTCATAAGAAAAACCAGCGTCAAAAAATTAGAGAAGCTTCTCCGTTCATTCTGCTATTTAGGTTACTTTAATGACTTTAAGATTTGAAAAAGAGTTGCATTTTCAGTCTCTCACCCTTTGAGGCAACTAAACCGTCCGCTCAACAGTTGTTTTTTATAAAGTATCTTTGGAAGAAATATTTCAGGAAGGAATTAAAAACGTTCCATTTGCAGATATAATTGAATTCTTGCTTTCAATCTGATTTTTCCGCAAATTCCTTCTTTTTAAGCAATTCAGCATTCTCCTTGACTCACTGAACAAAAGCTATCAAACACGAAACTATAGCCAGCCATGATACTTGATAGAAATAAGACGTCGACTGGAATGTCCGACCTAACGCTAACTCACCCATACAGCTTTATATAAACTACCGTTGAGTCTTGAGACGATGCAGAAATTTTGAAAAGAAATTACTTCTAAACTTTCTTAACTTTTTCGCTGTTTATGAGACTGATCATCTTTTTGCTTTTACCAGCTCTTCGCTACAGAAAATAATAACCTCCAAAAGTTTATGCTAAAGAACGCACTTTGCTCAAAAATTCTTCGTAACCATTCTAAAGCAGATTATCATCCTCGTGTTACAACAGAAAGTGATGACTCTAGAAGACTTCTTAAAGGAACTATAGCCAGCCATGATACTTCTTCCTCTTAAATCAAATTCTTCGTTGAAGAAGCAGCTCCGTAGCTAACTGCGTCAGGTAGCAAATAAGAAGCGTGCATGAAAACAAGAGCAAATATTTAGCAACTGCAGATGGCCATTTGAAAAGTACGAAACAATGACTTTAACAGTAAAAGTGAACTCGCATTGCTCAAAATATCCTTTTAAATAGTCGCTCTTGAAGCTGAAACTTCGATAAAACTTCACCTGCTTAGATCTGCTCCGCTTAGCCCACGATCAAAGGAGAAATATCAACAAGTCAATTTTACCAATTGGCAAACTTTCCTGTTGAAAAAATTTCACGTAGCAAACTGTGAAAAAATTCGCCCATTTTCATTTTTAGATGTATTTTACACGTTTTTCTTTCCAAATGGTTCTTTATTTTAAAAATACTTCAAAAAAGATAATAAAATAGAATGAAAAAATGACGAGATCTTTGATCTCCTAAGAAACAAAAATTTCTTCCAGATGACTAGAATTTTAGCACCAAAGCATCATTTAAAAAATTTTTAGAGGTGTAATTAATGACCACTGAATAGCGCCTTGCTACCAGCCATTACTGAACAATTTAGATGAAATGTTCAAAGCAATGCAAAAAAAAAAAAAAAAGACACGATCCAGCATATTATAATGACACAACAGTTTAGCAGACCATATAAATGAAGTTCTTCGAACAAACCAACAAAAGAATGATAACAAGAACACTCGTATCGACACTATATAAACAAAGAGAACTTGATATTTAAAAAAATAATTTTGCTTTCTTTAAGTTATACTGAAAATAGGAAGAAAAAACCAATTAAAAAGTATAACTAACCTAGTTAAAACTAACCTAAAGCTAACCTAATTACAACGAGGCTAACCAACAAGACTTGTTCATCACTTCTACAGCAGCAACAGCGTCAAAAACAATAACTTCTTTATCTATTAATTAGCACTGTTCTGATTAAACGTCTTATCCAAAACAGGCTACAGCAATGAGTGTCCAATGAAAAAAAGCCTAAATAAATCTTATTAACCTAGCAGCAACCAAAATAAAAAATACTTCTTTTCCGCGAATCTCTCTCTTGTCTACAAACAAACTTACGCAATCTTTTGCTTCTATAAATTACTATATTTTTTCAAACTGTCACCCTACAACTACAATTCGCGCCTCGTCCCAAAATAAAGCGATGGTGAATAAAGTCTTTTCTGTAGCATAAGCCTCAAATAATCCCTATATTTCAAAACCGGGTTGACCACTGGTTCATCAGAAGAAACATCATAACTGACAACAAGTATTTTAAAAAATGATAATTAAAAATTGTACGTCTATGCATCTGCCAAAGTCTTCAATTTCGTGCAACTATCAGCAAAATGTAGGGCGAAAAACAGCAAAAGAAGTTGGTACTTAAATTAATGCCTAAAACCCAATACTTACTGAATCAACTAAGAAATCATATTTACTTAAAAACATGTTTACTTCATATATCAAAAGAAATAAAGATTCCCCCCCCCAAAAAAAAAAAAAAA